GTTTCGATATTCGTCTCCTCTGTCACTTTCAGACCTTTCATCATTTCAGCTACAGTGAATGCCACAGCAGACTTTCCAATGCCTGCCGTGCCATGCAGCTAAATGATTTGACTCTTCTCTCGCTTGTCCAAAAATCCATGGATGAGTTTGAGAAGGGCCACTCGGGTCCGTTCTAAACATTTCGGAATGGGGCTGTCGTTCAGGGGAGTCATATTCAGCACCTGGGACAGCAACCTGGAACAACTTCTCCCAAGTTCCTTCGGCCATTGCTAGAAGCTCACCAGGAACTGTGATCAAATCAGAGAGCGAGTCAATAAGGGAAGCAGATATTTATATTGATCTCAGTTACTTATTGACAGAGGTTGATGATAGAATGCGACACAAAATGTGAGTTAGAATGAAACAAGTCAGGGAAGCACTATAGTTGGGTTCAACAATATAATCAGAGATCGTGTGATGTCATGCTATCTTAGAGTGGATGATGTACAACAACATTAATTGAATAATCAAAGTCTAAGTTGTAACTTCATTCTTTCGAGTCCAGAGGAAGTCGTGAAATGATACTTGGGTATCAGCCTGGCCAATAAGCGTGTTCACAGTTCGACTGGGCGGCAGCAAAAAGATTGAGCAATGGAGATAGAAACGTAAAGCCTAAAGAATATTTGTGACAGAATGGACAATGAACTGCAGTGCTATTCCAACTTGCTGGATGGTGGTTGAATGCAATCAAGTCGAAAGGACAAGCTGGCACTTGTCTCAAGTTTTCTGGCTGCACTGCCAGGCACCACGAGGTTGCTGTGTAAGGCTACCTTAATGCCAGAGGTTATTTAAGTAATCAAAATTCGAGAAGGATATAGTTGAACGCACCAGTATTGGCACCCCACCATATATGAACTCGCTGTGTAGTTGTTGAATGCTTCAAGGATATCGATAACCTCAGATGCACCACCCTGTTGCACCCCTCTCCGAGACCATACAACGTGAGTGTCACCACACGCCGCCAGCTGTGATAGTCTTCTGACCCAGTCAACTCGATGATGTGGTTATATTTGCCCATCATGCCTTGCACTGATCAAGAACGATTGAAATGAGCGCAATGAGATTGGTGGGTAAATTTGTGTCATTCGTCCTTTGTGTGAACATTACTTTTAGAAATCACAGTTCTTCTATGAGATTTATCATAATCCGGGCCTGTAGACCAGAATTAATAGAGTCTCAGCAACTGATTGAGCAACGCTGAGGCACAAAGTTGCGACATGAATGGTAGATGTGTGCAAAGTTGAAAGAGTACTTATTGAATTTACAATATGAGAAATCAGACGTTTGAATCGGACAAGGATCCTCTACTAACATGGGAGTCGGGGACTATACATCTTTCCAGGTATCCCTGACATATCTATGCGCTGCTCTATGTAATCATAATTAGAGTCACTTCAGAAATCCGATCAAGGGCATATTTGCCAACAGGTGCATTTAGCGCAATGTGAGTTGCGTCGGCATACTCCTTGATGTAGGCCAGTCAGAACTCCAATATATGATCCTAGATTAAAGTTTGACTGTATAGATTTCGTCCCCAAGCTCCTTCCAGGGCTTCGTCTTCCACACCGGCCACTAGCCTAGGAGCTGCACGGGCACGGGTACTGTTGGGCTATGGGTACAGTGTCATATACCATAAATCCGGTTACAGATCCGATGATCTGGATCTCAGATCCGATCCAGATCCGATGAACATATCCGTCGTCCGGTCCACAGATCCGCTTTGATTCTTATTTCATTTCCTGTTCATATAACTCTAACTATCGTTCATCTCCTTTCGGTATTCCTGTACACCGGTATACCGGTTATCCTTTACTTCCGCTTTGCTTACTGATCCGCTATGCTTACTGATCCGCTACACTTACGAATCCGCTTTTACTTGTACTTCATTCCCGGTTCATCATTCGTGATCCATCCAACTTACCAATATGCTCCACTTAGACTTTGCTTATACTTTCGTACATAGCCTCGCACCTTTGCTTATGGATCATTCCGTTAGCTATCCGTAGTATATAAACCATTGTATATGCGCTGTAGTAGATCAGTTCGAATATCATCTTAGATTGCACTCATTCCGTCTGGACTCTGAGTCCCTCCGTTATCCATCCGGACTTGAGTACGCTACTCTTGTCTACTCCGAGACTTAGGATAGATTCCTATAGTCTACATATCTGCCTCTGTCTTCGGACAGTCCTCACCCGTTAGTTTCTAGTCCGGATCCGATCCGGATTGGCCGTTACTCTATACGTTCGATATCCGGAAGTCTTAACAGATCCATTGCAATACTTATCCGTTTCACTAGACGCGATACTTTAGCTCTCTGAAATAAGGGGCAAGACTCGGGAAAGGGGCACAGCGTACGAGCTGAGGCCGAAGCCCTTCGGATCCGATACTACTTGAGTACGGTCTTAACAGTACAGGTCCAGTGCTGGTGTACCCGTACCCATGGTGTGGGTTTCTGGTGGCTGTTCTTGCAGCCCCTTACCAAGTTTTGTCGAACTTTAGCCGAGAGTTAGCGAAGTTTTAATTTCTACTCTGAGTCCCACTATTAAATAATTAAATAATTATACTCACTGACATTGTGTACATCACCGAAGCATACATAGCATGGTCCATTTTTTCATGGGGCAGTGATGGCAGTGTCCAGCCACACTTGCCCACTCGCAGTGTCTAGCCAAACTCGTCCACCTGCAGTGTCCAGCCACACTTACCTGTCTGCTGTGTCCAGCCCTCAGGCTGCATTCATCGAGGGCATTGATAATAAACACCAGAGGTGGACACTCGTGCAGCCTGCATTGTAGGTGCCAGAGAGGTTGGCGAAATAACGCCTTCATCTGGTCGCGAAATGACTTTCTGGAGTCTAGAACTGCAGGATTCTCACGGATAGCTCTATTCACGTCCTTCTGGATGCTGTGAAAATTGGTCGCAAGCTGGTAAGCAAGGGTCACAAAGAAATGACTGGTCGACGGTCATGCTGCGGTTCATGTGCTTGCATGAGAAAAAGAACATCCCCACAAGCCTTGTTTCGATATTTGTCTCCTTTGTCAAATGATTTGACTCTTTTCTCACTTGTCCAATAATTTGTAGATGAATTTGAGAAGGTCTACCTGGGTCCCTTCCAAACATTTCGGACGGGGCTGTTTTTTAGGGGAGTCATATTCAGCACCTGGGACAGCGACCTGGGACAGCTTCTCCCAATTTCCTTCGGCCATGGCTAGAAGCTTGCCAGGAACTGTCAATTAGGTCAGCGAGAGAGGTGATAAGGGAAGGAGATATGTACATTGGTCCCAGTTGCTTATCGGCAGAGGTAGTTGATAGAATGTGACACAAAATGCTAGTTAGAATAGGACAAGTCAGGGAAGCACTAGTTAAGTTTGATGGTGTGATTAGAAATTGTAATGGTGATGACTATCTTGGAGAGGACAACATACGATGACGTTAATTAAGGAGTCAATGTCTAAGCTGTAACTTCGTTTGAAGTTGAAACAAAGTTTGAAGTGGTGAAATGATCGAGCAATGGAGATATAAACATTTAGAAAGGATTTTGATGAAAATTGCATATTCTTATCACCCGCTGCAGTCACCCATCTCCTAGGATAAGAGTCTGTTAGCTAGGGCAAGAAGAATGCTAGGATGGTGGGGATGGTGAGCCTATGTACCTAGTGGGAGTACAAGTTCTGTCGCACGACTGCAACCGCGAAAAACAAAACCGGCCGTTGTGTCCAGTAACCATGACCCACCGGCAGGGTAGTTTACGGTTGGGGGAAGGCTAGTGGGTGGTAGGAAGCTTCAGACCTCGCATCTCGCACATCAAGACCCTGAACCCACTCACTGAGGAACCCGTTTCGGCCATTTCCGAATGGAGCAGGAAGTTTTGGTGTCTCCGTGCAAAAATGATGCTGGACGAATGGGTGCTTGTCTGGCTGCAGGTCCCAGTTGAGAGCACAAGGCTGCTGCATGGTCTGGCACTGGAGGTTACTAGCGGTTAGTAACTAAAATTCGACTCGGAGAATGTCAAAACTGAACGTACCTTATCCGGTGCATGAACTCTCGCTGTATCATAAGTTGATTGCTCGATCACCCCCGTGAAGCTAAAGTGAATGAATTCTATCATGATATCACATTACCTGGGCCAGAATAATATATTCCTGAAGCTTCCCATACTTGCATTGGTTGAAGGGTCCAAATCATCATCGACTAAATCCTCGATGTTAAGAGCGGACTTCGTCTTTTGCACTTTGTCATGGTGGTGGTATCATTCAAATCATCTAACTGATCAATATTGTGTACCAATACAAATACTCCAAAAAGGTATGCTGTCATAAAAACGAAGAACACCCACCAAGGAGTCTTCCTACTCTTCCTGCGTCGATTTATTGTCAAAACGACCAGCTTGGATAACCTTGTCGTCGATGTTGAGCTTGTACCGCACACAAGCATACATGGCTTCTTCGACACTCTTCTCCGTGATGGAATGGAGGACGCAGACAGCCTTGGTCTGGTCAATATGGTGGACACAATCTTGAGCCTAAAGATCAGTGCGGGGATTTCTAAGACATTAGCATCAGCATGTCTGTCCAAACAATAGCCAGAATCTTATTCACCAGTCACTATCGAAGCTGCAAACTTACACGTCAGCATAGAGAACAATGTGACCGCAAAAAATAACACACACAATAACCGTATCTGCAGTCTGCAAATTGAGACCCAAACCACCAGGACGTGTTGAGAGCATGACAACTTGAATCTCCGAATATTTTGCATTGAACTGCTATACATGCAAGGTATGCTCCTCCATCTTCGTGTCTCCATCTTGACGGAGATACTTCCAGCTCATCATCTTCAAGAAATCTTCCATGATATCCATGACTTTCGTCATTTGGAAAACAATGAGGACTTGGTAGAAACAACGATCAGTACTGTTACAGTCAAGTATGCCCCTATTCATTTTCTTTCTCTTACATCATTGTATTACATCACAATCGCATCTTGCCATCACTAGATGATCTATTCTTGTTATCTTGACTCGTCTTATCTCTGACTCGCCTTATCTCTGACTCATCTTATCTCTGACTCGTCTTATCTCTGACTCATCTTATCTCTGACTCGTCTTATCTCTGACTCATCTCTATGACCTCATCGTACCGGCCCTAAAGTCGTTACCATTCACTATATAAGCCCGTTCTGTACTATGTAGTTCTTTACTTTAATCTTACTAGGTTTTACCTGGAACTTCCTTCGCTTAAGACCTCCAATCTTAAGTCGTATTGAACTTGATTCAAGTCGAGGACACTCTCCTTGTCTTGTCTTAGAAACACTGAAACTTCGGTATACGCCGAAGTCTTGAACCAACCTTGGCCGATTACTCTTATCGAGTAGCCATACGTCAGAACCATCCTAGTTCGTAACAAAAGATTAAAGTCTTCCACAAACACATCGCTATCACACGCTGTAACCTAGACAAGAACAAACCCTGGTCATCACGACAGATAGAACCCCAGGTCCCCAGAAAAGCTGAAACAAGCTGACGTCATTAACACCAATTTTTGGCGCTTTGAACTTAGGTGCTGTACCACCCCTACCACCTTTGAACCCCCCAATGTCTTCCGCGAAACCCATTGAAATCAAGATCGGATCCCCCCCAGTCTTTGACGGGGATAGAGATAAATCCGAAGGATTCCTGATGTCGTGCATGTCTTACCTCAATATCAACGAGAAGATCTATGTCGATGACAAACAGAAAATCATTTTCGTAACCTCCTTCATGAATGAAGGGAACGCGCGCTACTGGAAGGAAGATTTCCTCAGACAAGCGCAGGATCCCAACAACAAGACTACCACAGGCCTCGTCAAAGGATACGGTACATGGACTGAATTCCTCGTCGACTTCAAAAGCGCGTTTAGGCCGCTTGATCCCTCAGGAACCATGTTAGCCAAGCTTCGCAACCTGAAACAAGGAACCGAACTCCAAGATTATATCTCGGAATTCCTGATGCTCACACGAAGGGCGGGAATTCAAGGTGATGTCGCTAAGAAGCAATTCTTCTTAGATGGATTACACCCAGGACTGCTCACTCGCCTCTACGGCACGGGTGACGTCTCTGATGACTTTGAAGTTGTCCTTTCCACCTGCATCAATCTCGACAATTCACGCCTTCACTTGAACGCCATCAGGGCACGCAACCAAACCCAGAAGAAGAAGAACTTCGGATCCAACCGATACATACCATCTAAAGATCCCAACGCCATGGTGATTGATCGGCTTTCTGAAGAAGAACACGTGGAGCATTTCCGAACCGGAAAATGTTTCACCTGTCACAAGACCAGACACCTTTTCAAGAACTGTCCCGAGAAGAAGAAAGGGAAAACCCTGATACGCTGCAAAGAAGTAGAAAGCAGCGATGAAGAAGAAGAAGAAGCAGAAGTCCGTCGTCTCAATGAGGATTTTTGATATGGGAGACTGGATCAACGTCAGTATCTCTCGATGTACCCATAAGACTTGTATGAAAAGTTGGTGAACGAAAAGAACTTCGGGTTCCCCTTTCCCTCATTTCGAAAACACGTCTGAAAACCGTTGAAACTACCGCAGTCATCGATTCCGGAGCAGCCGGAACCTTTATCTCAGAAGACTTCGTCAAAAAGCACAAGATCCGAACCCACGCCCTTAGTAAACCTTTCAGGGTTACTACCGCCGATGGAAGTTATTCCAAAAGCGGAGCCATACACCAATACTGCGTCCTTACTATCAAAATCGATGAATGAACTATGATTGGAAAGTTCAATGTCACACGCCTCGGTAGAAGGGATCAAATTCTCCTCGGAATTCCCTGGCTATGGGCTATGAACCCAGCCATTGATTGGACTGCCGAAACCCTTATTCTTTCCCGAACGGAGAAGAGTAACCAAGTCGAAGAAGAAGTTGACAAAGAAAGGAAGAAGAACGATCTTCCACTTCTATTTCAACAAGAACCCAGTCGATCGGACTTGGAAGCAATCCAAACTTAGGAAGGTACCGATTATCGAAACCCCTGTCGTTTATCCAAAGGCAACTATCAAAGAAATCATTGACGAAGAAGCACCACCTGTCCTTTCTACCCTTGACCCGCTCCCCGATCTACTCCCCATCCCTGACGAAGACGTCTGGACACAAGAAAACTTTGCCGCACCAGTGCGAGAAGTCTCTATGTACGATCTAGATGATGACAAGTTCCTGGTAGAATATTCCCTTGACGCATCCGAACTCCGGGTAATTTCAAACACTACCATGGATACACCATTAACCCCAGATGGAACTAGTCACTCTGAACAGAAACCCACGGTCAAACCTCTGCCACGGTCTACGGAATACGCGAAAGTTAGTAACAAAGCCCAGCAGTTCACTCTAGTTGCAGGCTTAGAACAGAAGAAGAAACTTTCGAAGAACTCATACCCTCCTATCTCCACAATTTTGCCAATATCTTAGCTAATGACAGTCTCAACCAACTTCCCCCTGAATGACCCGGTATTGACCACCATATTGAAACGAAACCCGGATTCATCCCCAAAACGTCGAAAATCTACCCTCTCTCGATTACCGAACGGGCTGCTGTCAAGGCATTCATCGATGAAAACGTAAAGAAAGGTTTTATCTCAGAATCTAAGTCGCCGCAAGCCAGCGGTTTCCTTCTTTGTGGGGAAGAAAAGCGGAGACCTTCGACCCTGTCAAGATTATCGGTACATCAACGATTGGACGGTCAAGAATGCTTATCCATTGCCGCTTCCCCTATCTCTCGTCGCACGGTTACACTGGAGCAAAGTATTTTACCAAGATGGACGTCTGATCCGGCTATAACAACATTCGCATTCACCCTGATGATAGATGGAAAGCTGCGTTCACCACGGAATTCGGACTCTACGAGCTGAACGTCATGTTTTTCGGACTTTGCAACTCTCCAGCCACATTCCAAGCCTACATGAATCGCATGTTCCAACAGGAGATTAATGAAGGATGGCTAGTGATCTATATGGATGATATCCTCATCTTTTCAGATAACCTTGATGAACACCACACCTGTACCCGTCGCATTTTAAAGAAGATTTCGCGAAGAACGACTCTTTTTGAAACCGGAAAAATGTACCTTTGATGCGCAGGAGGTCGAATATCTCGGTATGATTATTCGCCCAGGATGCGTCGCCATGGATGCTGCCAAAACCGATGGAATCCGCGATTGGCCAATCCCATCTACTGTTAAAGAAACTAGATCGTTCCTTGGGTTCTGTAACTTCTACCGAAACTTTATCCCTCATTATTCCGATATCGCGCGACCTCTTATCGATCTTACAAAGAAAGATAATGTCTTCCTTTGGTCCACACCCTGTCAAGAAGCATTTACGACACTAAAAGAATGTTTCCTGAGACAACCCGTCCTCCATAACCCTGACCCATCACGACAATTTGCAGTAGCCACCGATGCATCTCTTGTTGCAACCGGTGCTGTCTTATTACAGACTGATGAAAATGGCGTATATCACCCTTGTGGATATCTATCCCAATCTTTGAACCCGGCAGAACATAATTACCAGATCTTTGACAGAGAACTCCTGGCCGTCATCCGCGCACTCCAAGAATGGCGCCATTATCTAGAAGGAAACCCACATCCGGTCATCGTATTCACCAATCATAAAAACCTCCTCTATTTCCGCACCGCTCAGAAGTTAACCCGTCGTCAGGCTAGATGGCAGCTCCTTCTTTCATGTTACAATATCAAACTCCATCATGTACCAGGAACCAAACTCGCCGCACCTGATGCCCTGTCTCACCGACCTGATCATGCACTAGACACTGTCGATAACGAAGATGTAACGCTCCTCCCTGATTCCATGTTTATCCGCCTTCTCAATCAAGAGCTTATGACCACTCTTGCAAATCCTGACCCTGATGATACCGACCCGATCTTCCAAACCGCCTCTGACGCCCTGAACGGTCTTTGTCTTCCCCCTATGAAATCAGCTCTCTCTGATTGGATGATTAAGGATGACGTTTTATTCTACAAAGACCGTGCCTATGTCCAACCGGCCGGACGTCACTCTATCTTAGAACGAACCCATGACCACGCCACAACAGGACATCCTGGTCGTTTTAAAACCAAAGAACTGGTTAAACGCGATTTTTGGTGGCCGTCAATGGGAACTTATATCCGAAAATACGTTGAGGGCTGCGCCCTTTGTCAGCAAATGAAGTCTGATACCCACCCCACGACTCCTCTGTTGGTTCCTATTCCTTCTTCGGTCTCTACTCCATTTTCCCAAGTGTCCGTCGACCTCATCACTGATTTACCACCTTGCAATGGCTTCGACTCTATCATGGTCGTGGTAGACCATGGTCTTACAAAGGGGGTAATTCTCATCCCTTGTATGAAAACCATCACCTCAGAAGGCATAGCAAAGAAGTTCTTCAAATACATCTACCGCCGCTTCGGACTCCACGAGAAGGTAATCTCGGATCGAGGTCCACAATTCGTATCCAAATTCTCTAAAGCCCTTGCAAAGCTTTTGAAATACAATATTTGCCGCTTCCACCGCCTATCATCCACAACGGACGGTCAAACTGAATGTTTGAATCAAGAACTAGAAACCTATCTCCGAATCTATTGCCGCAATAACCCGGAAGAATGGGTTGAACACATCCCTATGTCTGAATTCATCCACAACCACCGCAAACACGACTCTCGCAATACATCCCCGTTCTTCCTTATGATGGGATACGAGCCACGGCTCTCCCCCATGTACTCCCAGATTCTACTGTTCCCGCCACAGAAGAACGACTTCGCCTCCTTCAGAAGATACGCCAAGAAGCTAATCTCTTGCCATAATCTCGCAATGCAACGAATGGCCGCACGAT